TTCAAGGTGGGACGAAACACCCTCTGCTGCGAGCGCTGATTCCACTGCTATCAATGCTGTCTCAGCACCCAGAGCTTCACGATGGGATCAAACCAGTTCGGCAGCTCCCGCTGCTCCTATGGCCCAAATCATTGGTATTGGGCCGACCTTCCAACCAACAGAGATGGACAAGCACAACCGCTATCTTACCGATGCCGAACTTGACCTCTTGTTACCAAGTACTGGATATTTCATCGTTCCACCACCTCCTGGCTACGCCCCTGCATCAGCTCGTAAATTCATGTCGGCACCAACCCCAATGGGTATAACTGGATTCCATATTCAAGAAGAATCCGACGCAGCAGCTGTTGCAGCAGCAGCGGGCCTTGCTCCTGAACTTCCTACGGAGATTCCTGGAGTCGGTACTCTCGCCTTCATGAAACCCGAGGACGCGAACTACTTCGCCAAGATCCTTAAGGAGGAGGACGAATCAGAATTGTCCGTGGAAGAACTCAAAGAACGCAAGATCATGCGACTTCTGCTCAAAATAAAAAATGGAACGCCTCCTGTTAGGAAGTCCGCCCTTCGTCAGATCACCGACAAAGCTCGTGAATTCGGTGCCGGTCCCCTCTTCGATAAAATCCTCCCCTTGCTTATGGAACGTACTTTGGAAGACCAGGAAAGGCACTTGCTCGTAAAGGTCATTGATCGAGTACTCTACAAGCTTGATGATCTTGTTCGACCCTACGTACACAAGATCCTAGTCGTTATCGAGCCATTGCTCATCGACGAAGACTACTACGCGCGTGTCGAGGGCCGAGAGATCATCTCAAACCTTTCGAAAGCAGCTGGTCTTGCTCATATGATTTCGACCATGCGTCCAGATATCGACCACGCAGACGAATACGTCAGGAATACGACTGCTCGCGCCTTCTCTGTAGTTGCCTCGGCTTTGGGTATACCTTCACTTCTCCCCTTCCTCAAGGCCGTGTGTCGATCAAAGAAGTCATGGCAAGCTCGACACACTGGCATACGTATCGTTCAACAAATCGCCATCATGATGGGTTGTGCCGTATTGCCCCACCTTCGTAACCTCGTCGATGCCATTGCACACGGGTTACAGGATGATCAGCAAAAGGTGCGAACAATGACTGCATTGGCTATTGCAGCACTGGCTGAAGCAGCGGCTCCTTATGGCATTGAATCCTTCGACGATGTTCTCAAACCACTTTGGCTTGGTATTCGTCAACACCGTGGTAAAGGTCTCGCTGCATTCCTCAAAGCTATTGGCTTCATTATCCCCTTGATGGACCCTGAATTCGCAAACTATTATACAAAGGAAGTGACTGTCATCCTGATTCGCGAGTTCCAAACTTCCGACGAAGAGATGAAGAAAATTGTTCTCAAGGTTGTCAAGCAATGCGCCGCAACGGAGGGTGTCACTCCTACATACATCAAAAACGACATTCTACCTGATTTCTTCAAAGCCTTCTGGGTAAGGAGGATGGCACTTGAT